AATGAATTTGGAGGAACAATTCTCAGTTTAAAGCTTAAAATTTGAAAGGTTTGACCAAGATTTGACTTATTTGTATATGATTTTGGATCGGAATTTTTATGATTTGGTTAGCTCCGTTAGGTGATTTGGGACTTAGGAGCATGATCGGAATGTATTTTGGAAGTCTGTGGAAGGCTTAGGCTTGAATTGGCAAAATTGAGATTTCGGTATTTTCCGGTCGATAGGCGATATTTTGATATAGAGGTCGGAGTGAAATTTCGGAAGTTGCAGTAGCTTCGTTGCGTCATTTGGGATGTGTGTGCAAAATTTCAGGTCATTCGGACGTGATTTGGTTGGGTTTTTGATCAAAAGCGTATTTCGGAAGATTGTAGAAACTTAGGCTTGAATCCGATGTGTTCTGGGTGATTTGATGTTTTTTGGGGTGTTTTGAAGATTGGTACAAGTTTGAATAAGGTTTTAGGATATGTTGGTGCCTTTGGTTGAGGTCCCGGGGGCCTCGGGTGAGTTTCGGGTGGTCAATCGGATCATTTGAAGTTGGAAAAATTGCAGAAAATTGCAGGTTCAGCTGTTGCAGGATTTTGCCCTTCGCGATCGCGTAGGGAGTCTCGCGATCGCGTAGAAGGATTTGAGGAGGCTATCCAGTTGTTCTTCGCATTCTCGAAGAGAGACTCGCGATCGCAGAGTATGGTAAAGTTATTCATCGCGAACGCGGGAGGGAATTCGCATACGCATAGGTTTAAATAGACCTGGGTCTTGGCTGGATTTTTGTGCATTGCGAACGCGGAGATACGTCCGCGATCGCGTAGTGTTATTTAATTTGGGCATCGTGTTCGCGTAGGCTTGTCGCATTCGCGTAGAGGAATTTTGGGAGCTGAAGAATTTGTTCTTCCCGATCGCGAGGGATGTTCTGCGATCGCGATGAAGGAAATATAGGCCTGGGCAAAATGTTTTTAAGTCGTCTTGTCCGCGATTTTGGGGCTTATTTCACCCATAGCTGCTCGTTTTGGAGATTTTTGAAGGAGATTGAAGAGGGATTCAAGGGGAATCGTTGGGAGGTAAGATTTTCGGACTTAAAACTCGATTATTATGTGAATTCCACCTAGAAAATCATGAAACCTAAGCCTAAAATTGAAGAACTAGGGCTTGAGAAATTGGACTTTTGATTTGGGATTTGAAGGACCATTTGGGGTCGGATTTGAGAACTTTTGATATGTATGAACTCGTGGGGATATAAGAAAATTGATGTAAAAATTTTTGAATTTCGAGACGCGGGCCGGGGGGCCTGGTTTGAGCAATTTCGAGATTTTTTGATGTAAATTGGATATTTTCGAGTGGGCTTTGTTCCCTTAGCATATTTTGACGTCCTCGTTCTGATTTTGGATAGATTCGACGCGCGTGGAGGCCGATTCGAGGGGCAAAGGCGTCGCGAGCTAGAGATTTAGCCGGTTCGAGGTGAGTAATGATTGTAAATGATGTTCTGAGGGTTTGAAACCCCGGATTGCACATCGTAGTGCTATATTGAGGTGAGGCACACGCTTGATGACGAGTGTGGGGTCGTGCACTATTGGGGATTGTGACTTGGTCCATCCCAATTGATGATTTTACCACGTATTTGATTGAAAACTATTTGCTATCCTCGTTATTTGGGCTAAGTGCCATATTTGGGCCTAGTGCCAGCTATTTGAACCCTTCAGGGATTTTTATTGATATTTCCTCACTATTTTGACTTTATACTTGAACTCAGTCATGTTATTTTTCACTGTTTTTAAAAATCAGCCAAGTTTTACTTTGCTTTAACACTTGAAATGATATTTCAAATAATATTTTGGGCTGAGCATCATGTTTTACTGTTGTCCGAGTGGCTTATGTGATTTTTGACTGAGTAAGGCCGAGGGCCTGTATTGTGAGGATACTTTTGGGTCGGGTTGCACGCCACAGCAGTGAGATACTGATTTGATTATGAGGCCGAGGGCCTAAGATATGTACGCCACGAGGTGACTAGTTGTTGATTGATATGAGCCGAGGGCCTAGATTTGATGCCACGAGATGGCTTGATATTGTGCTTGGGCCGTAAAGGGCCCCTCCCGGAGTCTGTACACCCCCAGTGAGCGCGGGTACCCATTGTGATGTGAGATATAGCCGAGGGGCTGGTATTGTTCTATGTGATTTGCCCGAGGGGCTGGTACCATTCTATGTGATTGCCCGAGGGGCTGGTACCATTCTATGTGATTGCCCGAGGGGCTGGTATTGTTCTGAGATATTGCCCGAGGGGCGGAGTTGCTGACATTGTGCTGCTCGAGGGGCGAACCTTTATGTGTTTTAGCTTTCATATTTACCTGTCATTTACCTGTTAAACTATGGTATTTGTGCCCGAGGGGCGGATTTCTGTGCTTATCTGCACTAACTGTTTTGCATTCATTTGCGTAACCGTTGAAAAAGTTATTTTTCAAAGAAGTTTAAACTGAGCTAAGATGTTTTAAGAGATTTTTACAGCTTCACTGCTTTCTTACTGGTTTTGAACTGCTTCTATACAGCATCTTGATATGCTTTACGTGATTTCTTACCATTCAGACTTTAGTTATGATTATTACTCACTGAGTTGGAGTATTCACTTTACTCCCTGCACCTTGTGTGCAGATTCAGGTATTTATACACCCGGTAGCGGGTTTTGGCTGATCGGATGCAGAGTCATCGGAGTTTAGCAAGGTAGCTGCCGGCGTTCGCAGCACTGCTTTTCTCTCTCTTCATTTCATTAGTCTGTATTATACACTTCAGACCTTCAGTTGTATTTATACCCTAGTAGATGCTCGTGACTTGTGACACCCTGGTTAGGGCTGTGTCGGGTTGTATTTCCGCTACTTATTAACATTAAATCATGTTTAGACTGCTTTTGTATTGTTTAACTATTTTAAAAAGTGAATTGGGTTTAATTGGCTGGCTTTGTCTTCACGAGAGGCACCATCACGGCCGGGTTCGGGGTTAGGGTCGTGACAGGTCATCACACCTATATAGGAATATACAATAATAACGATTTTTCTCACATAATTTGGGTTGATTATGGGTATTAATGGTATTAATTACCCATTATCTCGGATATCTATAACTGGCGTATTTATTGCTATAAATGCATCATATCTGTTCTGATACTTTTTCCTTACTTTCGATTCATGTATCTTTCCTTCTTTTTATCCTTTATTCATTCAGTCCATATTTATCCCTTGCCAACTGTTAGGCTCGATAGCAGCTCGTGGGTATTTCTTCCCGTGCCTTCTCTACCCCATTAATTAAGAAAGCCACATGTCGCTGTATTATTGTCCCATGTGCCATGCCATACCAGCATTCCAATATTCCACGTGCAACGCTTTTTCACCACCAATACAGAACGTCCAAAAGAGTGCACGCTAAGAAATTGCATGATCTTCAACAATTGATCATTAAAAGGTGTTGGAGAGTCACTTTTAGGATTCATACGGAGACATGCTTGGATGCTTAGAGATTGAAGTAGCAAGACCTCAAGCCAAACCGAAGAAACTAGTTAAAAGTTAAAAGCTAGCTTTTCTTTTTATATTGAGGGAATAAATAGAAGTACATTATTTGGATTACTAGTAAAGGGCAAACAGACTGTAGAGAAGGTAAAAATTGCACGGGGCGCTCTATTTGGTCGCCCCCATTTAACATACCCATTTTTTTTAAAAGTTTTAACCTGTACCTACTTTTTAAACAACTTCAGCTCTCTTTCTCCTCCCCCTTCTCCTTCTTCGTTTCTTCTTCTTCTTCTTCTATGGTGATACGTATACCCCTTCTAAGAGAAGCCAAGAATATGTAAAAATGGAGCAACAGAGACAATGATCTTTACCAGTTTGATTAGATCCCATTGTTTGTTGAAGTTCAGCTCAACAAACTAGGCCAAGAACTGCCACCACCACCAACATCTATTTCCACTGTACTCTTTTGGTATTTATTATTGCAACTTCCTTTACAATCCAATTCGAACCCCAAATGCTTGTTTCTTTCAATAGATTTGGAGAAAACAGATTCATTGAGAGGGGTAGTGATTATAGTGGCTTTAACACCACGTGAAGCTACGAGTTTGGCCATGTCTAACGTAGGAATCATGTGGCCATGAGCCATAAAAGGAAAGAAGAAAAAATGGAGTTAGACCCATGTGTGATAAAAGTTGCAGTAGAAACATAAAGCAAAAAGAGAGCATTTGGGGTTACAAAACTTCAGCTCTAGAGCTGAAATTTGCCAGTTATAAAAACATAGACTTCAGCTCTAGAGCTGAAGTTCGCCAGTTACAAAAACAAAAACTTCAGCTCTAGAGCTGAAGTTCGCCAGTTACAAAACAAAACTTCAGCTCTAGAGCTGAAGATCACCAGCTACAAAAACAAAAACTTCAGCTCTAGAGCTGAAGTTCGCCAGTTACAAAACAAAACTTCAGCTCTAGAGCTGAAGTTTGCCAGTTACAAAACAAAAACTTCATCCCTAGAGCTGAAGTTCGCCAGTTACAAAATAAAAACTTCAGCTCTAGAGTTGAAGTTCGCTAGTTACAAAAACAAAAACTTCGCCAATTACAAAAACAAAAACTTGCAACTTCAGATCCCTCTACTAGAATGCTGAAGTTTTGCGTGATTGCCTTTGCTACTTCAGCCCCGTATGCTGAAGTTATGCGAAAAAGCGGGTACGCTTGCAATTTTTTTTGCAAAGCGGGCATAAGTTAAAACGTGACACAAAAAGCAGGTATAGATGCAAATGCCCCAAAATTATTTACTTCTCCATTTTAATTTATGTGATACTTTTTGCTTTTCGTGATCTAAACTATTTGAATTTTGATTAGTATTTTAAAATATATTTTCTCATCATATATTAACATGAAAAGAATTACAATTTATATAATTTTTAGTATAGTTTTTATTGTCGAAATTTTAATTATAAAATAATGAATGGATCTAATCAAATGTCGCTTAGAAGAAGCGAAAAGTATAACAATTCGTGCTAGCTAATCAAATGACTAATTAGGATCAATTAATATCTCACAAAGTACATATAATAACAACTACTAGCTATTACAACATTGATATACTATAATGACCATGATCTACATGACTAGTGTCTGTCGATCTTGCCAAGAACTTTTATTTGTTTCTTGCTAATTTCCTTAATCTATTTCTTAATATTCTTCCTAATTCATACTACCCATAGACTTTCTTTTCTTAATTCCCTTAAAGGGAGATTATATATTTTCACTCTTCAACTCTCAATTTAATTGTTTTAATCAGGAAGATAAGGCTTGAGAAGTTGAATTAGGGAGCCTTTTAGGTGAAGAGACATAACTTCATTAGTAGATCCTACTAATTTTCCCCCTATGAAAACTGCTGGAACTGAGGCATTACAACCCATTCTCATAAGAGCTTTCTCCATATCTTTTCCCTCAGAATCATGATCAAGTTCATGAACATATGGATCAACACCAAGATCTCGAAATAGTATAGTAACCGCGTAACATAAACAACATGTACTCTTGCTGAAGATCACTACCCCGTGCTCTGACGCCATACGTTGTACTTTGTCCATTTCTTGATAATTAGGTCGTGAAAGATTCGCCTTATGCCCTTGGGATAACAACGAGAGTTGTAGTACGATGAAATTCGATTAAAAAAAAGGCGGTAGGGGTAGTTTTTCAAAAACTAGGGTTCCTTTCTTTGTTTGGTTGAATTTACCACTAAGTGGAATCAGACTGTCTGACTCTCAATTGCTATTTATATTGGTTGCAATAAGCTTTCAGTTCTACTAGCAGTGCAGTTTAAAAGCTTAGTAGCTAGAAGATAGATTGTTACGAGCTATATTTGAAATTCAGGTATCTGGGAACTTAATGAAAAATAAGGGTAAATAAAAGTACTCTAGTATACCATCGGATCTAAGTTCAATTGAACTTGAACATCGATCCGATGGTTGATAATTTGATGCTAGAAGAGATGAAGGAGAAACAAAGAGCAAGAAAAAAGACTGACAAATATTAGGGTTAATTTCTTAGAGGTTTGCTTGGAAATGGAGAGTTTTCATTGCTACACTATTTATAAAAGAGTAAAATGGAACATTTAATTAGTAACTATGAAAGTGGAGTCCTCTGTCTAAATTGTAAAGATTCAAAAGATGGTGTGCTTTATTTAGATGCTCCAAAAACTGGATTACAGCTCTACTAAAAAGAATTGATCCAAAAAAAAAAAAAAAAAAACAGATACTGTTTCATTCCACAAATATTAAGCAAGTTGGAGAATATAGTACATATAGTCTATTTAGTCTTGCACTTTTTGGATTTAGAATCTTTGTGGTGGGAAAGAGCTGAAAATATATACCTATATGCACTTTCTATATTATTAATTAGGATTTAACTTATGAATATTGACAGTATAAGTATTTCTATATTATCGATATAATTTAACCTATTAAAGTTTTTAATCTGTCTTATTTTCTAGATTACTAATCCAACTTTATGGACCGTAACCTATAAGTATCTTTTAAGTGAGTTAATAGTGTAATAATTATTTTGCACTATCAGTATTATGGGCGGCAAACGGGCGGGTCGGGTCAAACATGGGACGGATCGAAAACGGGTAATATTGAAAAATATATAACTTATCCGACGCAATCCATATTTAATATTGATAAAAAACGGGTTAACCGGCGAATAATATGGTAACCATATTATCTATGGCTTCATGAATATGATCACTTTTGGGAGAATTGCTAGTATCCCAAACTTGAGGCACCCGATTTGAGGTTTTGCAAATGTAAAAGTTAAACCCGTTAGTTGTCCATTGGTTACTCATTTTCTAAATGGATAATATGGTTTTTATCCATATTTGACCCGTTTTTTAAAAGTTTATTATCCAACCCATTTTTAGTGGATATATGGGTGGTTAACGGTATTCTGTTAAAAACAACAACAACTTAGCCGGAAGATAGTGTCTATGCAGACCTTGCCTTACCTTTGTGGGTAGAAATACTATTTTCAATAAACTCTCGGCTCAAGAAAAACATAGACACAATAATAATGGAAAAACAACAATTTAAAAAAAAAAGCACCATCAGTATATATAAGTCAAACTCGATCAATTAATTAACTCCTTAATCACCATCAGAATATTGTATGTGCATGTTAAGATAATTAATTACCCTGATGATTATCCATCTTTATTGAGTTAGTCATATACTATAAGGAATTTTGAAGAAAACGTGGACAAACAACTGACCATGCAAGATTAGACTATAAAAGTGTTGTTCTTGAAGATGCATTAATTTATACTATATATTATGTGTAGTCAATTTCTTAAGATTCTTTTTCCAATATTCTTGGATTTTATTCTATGCTTAAAGATTTATAAGGAATTGAAAAGCTTTCGGTGGCTTTGATTCTTTCTGTTGTGTCCACTCCCAACTTGTATCGATTCTAATAAATACTCATCCATATCATACGTTTATATTAAATTTAATAATTTAATCTTAAAAGTTAAAATAATAATAAAAATACATCGCTTAATCTATTGTTATTGTATATTTATTAATTTGATGTAAACACTAAACACGAATAAATTTTTGTCACCTAGTTATTCTTCCCACATACATACACTTATTCTTCATAGCACATGGACAATTGATGGCCGTACACTTGCATACACTGGTGTACGTGTGAGGCAAACGCAAGATTTAGCCTAAGGGGGCATAAAATATGCCGTACTAATTTTTCATGTGAGTTAATTAGGGGTTAGTTAGCTAATTAATTAAGCTTCTAATAAATTAGGATATCTTTAGCCGGTTGAGATCTGTTTTTTTTTTTTTAAGGGATGGCAATGAAACTGGACAGGGCGAGTTAGTCGAAGCTAGAGAGGAAGTCGGGAACTAGATTTGATGGATTCAACTTTTAAATTTGTATCAACACGTTCTAATTTTAAATCTATGAGTTCATAATTTAACGATTGTCCGTTAAATTTTAGTGATTTTTAATTTATATATTTATGTCCTAAGCTCATAACGGCAGGGGCGGCTCAACGGTATTCGGGGCCTAAAGCCAAACTTCAACGAGGGGCCTAAGTTTTTTCATATTTAAACACTCATTTAGTAAAATTTTATTTTGAAGTTTATTTTTCTGGCTTTTTGAGATGTAAAATTTTAGTAATTTATTTATAACCAATTTCTTAACTAGGATTATATATATTTCTACTTTCTAGGATTATTATTCAATTCTTTTAGGATTTTCTTATTTTCTAAAAGATATTTGTTAAACTCTCACCAACTTCTTCTTATTCCATTCTCTTCTAGCTCAATTATATTAGTGATATGTTTATCTACCATAAATTCTTCCTATTTTTGGGGATTGTATTAAAGTTTTAATTCTTCTCTCTCTTTTTGGCATTTTTAATATGTGTATTCATATTTTCTTGTTGACATATTAAAATTCTAATAAATTAAAAAAAGATAATACATATAATTACAAACAAAATATATAAAAGTAATAAGAAAAGTATAGAACAATTGATCCTGGTTTAACAAATAGTCATAGATAACTTGATATTACTTTTGTTGTTTCAATATTTTTGGTACAATGCCGGGAAAGCTTGACAAATAAAGAGTTCGCAATTTGACAGAATATTTTATGAGATAGTGGACTTATAAGTCTGGAAAGGCTAAAAAGAATATAAAAGATTAAGTAATAACCAGTTTAAAAGAGAAAGTAATAAAAGTAATGTGGGGGCATGTGATAATAATGATAATATATAAAGAAGGCAAGAAATATATTCACACGTAAGTTACTATTCTTATTCCCAAATTATCTTTGTCGGTCTCATAGTTTCCTTATTTATGAAAGTTTTTTTTTGATACTAAATATTTTTAAAAAAATTCATGAAATACAGATATAACTATTTAATACAGTATCAGAAAATTTTGGGGCCCCCTAAATGTGGAGCCTCAAGCAGTTGCTTGAGTGGCTTTACCATTGAGCCGCCCCTGCATAACGGATTCGAGCCGTGGAAACAACCTCTTGCACAAATGCGAGGTAAGGCTGCGTACAATAGACCCTCGTAGTTTGTCCCTTCGACGGACCCTGCTCATAGCGGGAGCTTAGTGCACCGGGCAGCTCTATTTTTTTTAATTATGTCCTAAGCTCATCGATAACATGATCCTTAATAGGAGTTCATGGAAGTAGAGAACTAGGATAGAAGGTTAGTAGGTATTCGAGCGATTTCTATCTTCTCTGTGGGAGAGTATGGTTTTAGTTTAGAGTACCTTATTGTGACGACCCAAAGGGTCATCACCTGTTTTCTCATTCATTACGTGCTTCCGAGGCCTTGAAAACCTCATTTTTAGTCGCCTCGATTTGCATGCGCAGTCCGGGCGCATAGCCGGAAAGCTTAAATATGAATTCTGTGTGAAAAATGATGAATTTTGGTATTAATATGATTAAAGTTGACTTTGGTCAACATTTTGGGTAAACGGACCCGGACCCGTGATTGGACGGTCCCGGAGGGTCCGTAGAAAAATATGAGACTCGGGCATATGCCCGGAGTCGAATTCCGAGGTCTAGAGCCCGAGAAATGAATTTTTCTGTGAAATTATTTTTCTGAAATTAATATGGAAATTTGAAACGAAAATTGATTAGAACGTGTTGGTATCGGGCCCGTATTTTGGTTCCGGCGCCCGGTACAGGTCTTATATATAGTTTAAGCGCTTTCTGTGAAATTTGGTTGAAATGGACGTCATTTGACGTGTTTCGGACCTAAATCTTTAAAAATGAAAGTTTATGAAGTGTGATGAAAAAGTGATGATTTTGAGGTTTAATTCATTGAGTTTGATGTTATTTTGGCGATTTGATCGCACGGTTAAGTTCGTAGGATGTTGTTGAGTTAGTGTGTGTGTTTGGTTAGGAGCCCCGGGGGCTCGGGAGTATTTTCGGAGGTGATCGGGGTGGTTTTGAACTTAAAAATGTTGCAGAAAATCTGCAACAGGTGCCCAGGTGAATCCTTCTTCGCGTTCGCACTCTCCCTCACGCGTTCGCGAAGCTCCTCAATTTTCCTTCATCGCGTTCGCAGCCTTGCTTCGCATAGGGTCAAGTGACCCTGAGGGGCTTAGTCTTCTTTCCTCTTCGCGTTCGCGGTCGAATCCTCGCGTTCTCGTAGTTCCCAACATCTCTTCATCGCGTCCGCGTGTAGTACAACGCGTTCGCGTAGGCCAATTCCTGGACCCCCCCAGTCCTTCTCTTCGCGTTCGCATCGTGCTCATCGCGAACGCGATGGTCTGTTGAGTCAACCCTTCGCGAACGCGACCTTGCTCCCGCGAACGCGAAGGGCAATTTTGCCTAGTGATTTTTTTTAAAATGTTCAAAACAGTAGCTACGGGTTTAACTCTAATTCTCACGAGCTCTCTTCTTCCCCAAGCTTCTAGGAGTCCATTGAAGCCCCCATTCTTCAAGACCACTTGGGTTAGTAAATCCCCACTTATTTTCCTTTATTTTTCTTCATTAATTACTGAAATTCTAAGCTTAAATCACATAGATTAGGGTGGAAATTGGGGAAAATGGGTAGAATTAGGGCTTTTCAATTTCCTTTTATTTAGACCTCGTTTTGGGGTCGGATTTGAAAACAAATTGTATATTCGGGCTCGTGGGGGAATGGGTGATATGAAATTGGTTCGAACCTCGGGTTTTGACCAAGCGGGCCCGGGGTCGATTTTTTGGAATTTTGGGAAGAAAGCTTAGAAAACTATATTTAGGCATTGGGTTTGATTTGTTTATCTTATATTAATGTTGTAAAGTAGTTATTTCATAGATTTGATTGAGTTGGAGCCGAATTCAAAAGGGAAAGCGGTCGTTGTGGATTGATTTGGCCGTGGAAGTTGAGGTAAGTGTTTGGTTTAACCCTAGCTTGAGGGAATAGGAGTTGAGTCTTGTTTGCTATTTGCTAATTGATCGAGTACGATGTATAGGCATGGTGACGAGTATCTATATATTGGTGTCTAGCATGACCGTGAGTCCTTAAAGGGTGATTATCATGATTTTGTTGTGAATTCCATGTTAATTGAGGACTTCTATATATTGTAAAGAACATGTGAAAAACATTATGATCAT